GAGTCCAATTGGATCTACAAACCCTGGGAAAGGCTGGCATTGAATTGATCATAAATATCCCTTTTTTGATTTTATAGGGAGAGGAATTTGTGAATCAAAAGCTGTGTTTAATTATTTCTTTATTAAGGATTTAAGGACTGAGAAGATGCTCAGTGAGGGGCCTAGAGGGAGAAATAAGGAAAAGAGAGAGAGAGACAGTGTCAAAGCTGGAAAGCTGAGCCTCTCCCGGGTAACTTGCAGGACCACACCCAAGGAAATGGAGTTTGACCTTCAAGAAAAATAGGTCAGCAGGTTCTTCGAGTTAATTGTACTCAAGTTCCTGGGAATGAGGGAAATACCTCTCCAGGAATCCTCTCCAGCTCTCCACTGCCTGTCTTGCAAAAAAAAAAAAAAAAAAGTGAGGTGTCACTTGCAGTGCCCAGGACTGGGTAATGGAGTTGTTACAAAGCCAAGGGAACTGATCCTCCTTCTTACCATTCAAAGAACCACTTGTCTTTCAGAAAGTATCAAACACCCTGCTTTTTTCCAGGCTGTGTAGTTCTTTTTGATCTTCCCCCTATTCTTCACCTGCCTTTTGTGCCCCAGAGGCACAGGGTGTCCCTGCAGGAGCAGGGGGTGCCCGATGCCATCCCGATGCACGGCCAGCGGAGCAGAGCACGCTCCTGGAGCGCTCCCACGGCCCCAGTTCAAAGGCAGGGTGAGGGCAGACAGCCAGGAAAACCACAGTGATCCACCACCTCCAGGATAAGGGAGAGCTGCGTGGGACTTCCTGCAGGCTGGGCTCACCCACTGGGTCCCCTCTCTTGAAAATCTTACGGACTTCTTGGAAATTGTTCAGCAGTGCTGGCTCATGGTAACAATGGTATTGTCGAGTCTGTTAGTTCAATGCAGTCACAAAAGCAAACAGCTCCATTACATAAAGGTTGAGTTTGGCAGATGTTGAACTTTGTCCTTGCAAATAAACCAGGCTGTCCCCACTGAGGGCACTGGGACTGGAATTCTCTTTGTAGGCTGTGTTGCTGCTAACAGGTCATTAAATTAATCTGCAGTCAAAAGTACACTTGGAGAAACCATCCAGAAGGAAATTCCTTTTGTATTTCTCCTGTTGTCGTTCTGTTCCCATTTGTGATCACTTTAAAAAGGCTGAAAGACACCTGAAAAATGCAGGTTATTGTTTTATAATGTTCCTTCTGAACATACTGAGAAAGTCCTAATAATCCATGTAATTCTCTTTTGCTGTTTCAGGAAGCTGAAGCACTGGCCAAGCAGCAAGCGTGAATTTCAACTGCCTTAAATTTGTCTGTAAAGGGAATTTCCACAGCTTTTTATAAAATAGTCCAACTGTCTCTGCTTCAAGAAATGTAGATGTGATTTCTAACATTGATTGGTGCTTGCAGCATTCACTGTACATAACCCAAACTGAACACAAGTGGAGATGGGAACTCGAGGTGGGGAGCAGGAGTGGGTTGGGATGGGTTGGAGGCTGAGGAAGCCCAAGCAATCAGACATGAATGATTTCACTTAGTTTAAACTGTCCTGGCAATTTGTGCATTTTGTGGAAACTTAAAAAGAAACTATTTTAGTACTAAAAATGCAGGTGGGTTTTACCCAGAGATCCAACTATTTAAACAGCGTCTAAAACCTTGTCAGATATTAATTCAGTGCCTGAGTTGCCTCAAAACTGTTACTGAATTACACAGTAATTTTTCAGTGTCTTTCCTGGTTTCAGATGGAATTGTAGGTGGTACTGTGTAGTATAACCATTGTAGTTGCTTTGGAAAGTTGTGTTTGTTCTTTTGTAGAATGGATATTTAAGGTTTGTATTGTTACACGCTGTACAGATGATAAAAACCCAACAGACCCATGTATTCCTCATTGAAACCATCCGCGTGGGCTCCTTTAACAAAAAGGGATGTGGGCCATGGACACAAGTCCCTCACAGCTGCCTAAGCACGAGTGATGACACATCTGGGGGCAAGACTCAATGTTGCAAACAAGCCAAAACGGCCAGAAATGGCATTTCCTTACCTGTGTAAGGGTGAAAGCCTTTAATGTATTTCTCTACAAAAATACCAGTTCACACTGCTTAGAGCATTAAACATCTCACTGCATGTTCAAGTAGCCATTAGGTTCATATAGTATTTTTTCAAACGAGGAAATAAATGTTTGAATAGGAAAAACTATTATAACTAAGGAAGACTTCTTCTTTTTTTAAGGTTTAAAAACTTCTTTTCTCCATTGTTATTGCCATATCACAAAGCTAATACAGGAGTTGCAGATCTGTCAAAGTGTCTTGTACTGGTGAATTCACCACGTGCAATATTAACCTGTGTGTTCTCCCAGTGCTCAGGAGGGAGCCTGTTATTCCTGGCCATATTTTAATTCCTGATTTATGTTTTGGAGAGCCTGGGAGGCAGTTTGAAGCTTGTGCTTACAAAAGCACCACAGTATCACAAGGCAGAGGGATGGATGGATTTTGCCTTACCTTTTTTATTAACAGGCTTTATCAGGAATTACTGAAATCCTGTGAAATTTAAGATCTCTTGGAAATAAAAGTTTGGTTACATTTTAAATGCGGCATCAGATTTTTCTTGTTTACTATGATTTCATCTTTCTGAATGAGGTGATTTTTCTTTCTTAATATTGGCTTAAACTTTCTCTGTGACTAAACTCCTGGTCAGGGTTTTGGGAACTATGGAATACTAAGTAAGTGGGATTTGACACACAAGTCTGTGTACCCACACCAGCTTGCTGTGTTTTCCTGTGCAAGTTTGGTGAATTACAGCCATTATTTTGGAGAAGCTGTAATTAAAACCCGCTGCCAAATTCTGTCAGTTCAGCGACCCAAAACACTCAGAAACGAGGTCAATCTCTGTCTCAATGGTCAAGAAAATCGCCAAGTTTAAGAAAGCAAAGTCACTCCCCTCGTCTGTCCCCCCCCTGCCATATGGGAGCGTTCAAACTGTATCAGCATTCCTAAGCCAGCTCTGGGAGCCAGGCTGAATTATTCCTTTGTCTGGGGAACAAGGCACCAACACAAACTGAAAATACCGAAAATCTCTTTGTGGTGTGTGCAAAACTTGAGTTTTTTGATGCAGATCTCTTGCATGACTTTAGGAGTGCCAGGAATCTGTTACCTCTGTGCTGTATTTCTGTTTCCATGGGTGCAAGAACTGAATTTGTTCCTTTCTTTCTTATTTTTTCCTCTGTAGAGGGCAGGCATTGAGGATTTAAGCTGTATATTAACCGTTCCTGTATCATTCCAATAAAATTGTTTTAGAAAGCTTTCTCACACCATCGGCCTGTTTGCATGTTTTGTTCACGGTTTGAAGTTTTAGGTTGGAAGAAGAAGAGTTTTCAGATGAAAATCGTGCTTTTTAAAAGTTCAGGATTCATACAAGGTGAACATCACTAATCCACTGCTGCCGTGGGTGAATCTGCTGGCTTGGATCTCTCACCTGTTGCCACTAATGGGTTTTAATTACTAAATGGGATTTAATTTCAGATACATCTCCCCAAAACTGTCCGTAAGGTTTGAGGTTTTTCCCTTATTAACTCATTTCCCGCTCGTTCCCCAAGGCGGGCGCAAGTTGGAAGCAGCCGAGGCAGCAGCTGCATCCCAAGCCCAGAGAGCTCTCCCAACCCTCTCCCTGCTCTTTTACAAACCGTAATTAATTAGCTTTATGCTGCTCACAGCAGGGAACTGTGGTATTTAATATTTGTGTTGCCACAGAGCAGTGCAGGAAGAATTTTAAACTAAAACTGTTATTTTTACCTTCCCTGTTTGCCCGGTACAGCAGCAGGTACCCCCTCGGCTTTGCACCACCTGGAAGATCTGCAGAGCTACAGGAATCCCACTCTCAGCTCTAAACAGCCCTGGGATTTGCCCAAATCCCAGACTTCAATTCACATCCTCTGGAGGAAACCAATAACCTGATTTTTTAAGGAGTTTTGTGATTTTTACAGGATCAGCTTCTTTCTGTGTGAGCAACAACAGCCCAACCAGGAGCTCTCAGTCAACACTGATGCCTTTTCAAGGTGATTATTGCTTGTCTCTCACACTTGCTCTTCTTTAGTGTCTTAAAAATGGTCCATAAGATGGGAAAAGGGCTTTGGATGCCATTTCTAAATTGCAGTGAATCCTATTTCCTTCCCCTGTGTATCCACTTGTCTTGTACAACCCACAAAAGAAAAAAAAAATCACTGGTTTTTTTCTTTGTTTATAAAACACCTTAAAAACCCAATTGTTGCTCCTTAATGTAAAGCTCAAGACAAATAGTTTTCCAGAATCTGTTTGGAAACCCAGCTCTGTGTGTGCATACAGTGTGCCCTTCACTTGCTGTTCAGGTTCCAGTGGTGTGTGCTGCAATAATAAACTTTTCTACCAATTCCTGTGGGATTTTATTAATTTCTCATATCCTCAGTCTCTATGCCATGGAAAGTTCTGGAATGTCTGATTACATCCCTCAGCTCATGTTGTACCCATTTCATGGAAGGGTTTGTGTTCCGCCTACTCTGTACCTACACATAATAATCCACTCCACAAATAAATCATATCTTTTATTGTTTTTTTCCTGCAGAAGTACTCTGTGATTTATCCATATTACGTGATCTTGGTAAAATGTTTTAGATTGAAAAGTTCACTATGAAAATTTTGAAGTTTATCGTTAAAAATTTGGACTGAATGGGTAAACTTTTGGAAGTGCAAAAGGATTCTGAAAGTCCAAGTGATGAAGTAGAAATTCCTGTGTTACTATAGGAGGTGAGCACAGTGCTGCTGTGAGTACTGAGTATCCAAAATCCAGGTATTTAGCACAAAATACATTTATTTAGTGTGTTGTATTCATGACGTATCAAAATTGGTCGTGTATATACTGTACTAGCAATATATAGTAATTCCTTATATATGTTAATTATATATATAATATACTCACAATATAGCAATATATAGTGATTTCTTATATATGTTAATTATATATAATATATATACACACACGATATAGCAATATATAATATTTCTTTATAGTGATTCCTTCTGTCAGAAGTGGGCTTATTGAAGATATCATCAGGAACTTGGCGATGTCTTCATTTTAAGTCGCTTGGTGTTTCAAAATCCCTAAATAAAAGGAAACCGGCACATCATTAATACATCGTGAGCAGCACTAGAACTCCCAGTTCTGTTCTGAACCCTTTCCCCAGCACGCAGGGCAGGTTATTTTGTGTTTATACAACCCGAAGCTATCAGACACACGTTTTATAACCGGGAGCATCCATAGAATCTATGAGTTTATCCGTGGAATCCCTGACCTCCAGGTCCTGCCCGGCCCCGCCGGGAGGGGCCGCAATGGCGCCCGCGGCCCCTCAGCGCCGCCGCCGCCGCGCGCCGTTGCTGCGGCAACCGGCAGCCACTCAGCGGCCGGGCCAGGCCTGCCCCGCCTTCCCATTGGGGGAGAGCGCCGTCCGTCAGCGCGAATTCCCGCCCCCCCAGGTACTTAAGCCTCGGGGGCCGCGGTGGTTGAGGGTGGTGTTGTGTGAGGGTTGGCGGCCGGCGGTGCTACCGGAGGTCTCCATTGCAGCCACCGCTGCCTGTGCACCCCGGACCCTCCCCATGCCCTCTGCTCGCTGCTGTGTGGGGAAAATGGGCGGTTTTCTATTAATAAAGCCCTGCCCTGTGTCAGCAGCGCGGGGCCGAGCTCACCTGGGGGCGGGCAGGGGCTGCTCTGCGGCGGGTGTTTGAGGGCTCGGCTGGGCTGCTCAGGGGAAGTGCTGGCAGTTTAAATCCAAACTAAAGGACTTGGGGCAGCTGTGCTTGGAAAAACAAACAAACAAAAAACAAAACACTCAATGTCTGTTTCATGTTTTTATGCATGTAAAATACACAGGTTGTGCTGAGAAAGAGGACTTTGCTTACATGCAGCCATAGTTGTGTAATATAAGTGTGTGGTAACATACCATGCTGTAGTATTTATCTTGGGCGTATGTATATATATATGTCTTTTTCATATATTCCACAGCTGATGAATGCTATAGTAGTTTTTTTACCTCTGTATTGTGACATCCTTGCCTTGCTGTTTCTCCCAACTGTGCTCAGCTTCTGAAATAACTCTGGTTCTGGTTTCATTTTTTGTCGATAAAAGGGCATTCCTTTTTGATGGAATTGATAGAAATGCATTGATTTCCTTGGATATTGGTGCATTTAACCCCTGAATCTCAGAATACTTTGAGTTGGAAGGGACCTTTAAAGCCCATCTCATTCTACCCCCTGCCATGGCAGGGACACCTTCACTAGACCAGGTTGCTGACGCTGCAACTGGAATGGGAGGTGATTTGGTTTTAATCACACAAGGTGAATTATCTGACTTGGTTTCTTTGTCTCTGTTACTTTTGTGTTTTGTTGAAACAGCTGCACAAAAATTCCAGCTGCAGCTGGCACTCATTACAAGCTCAGCAAGGTTTTAAACTACTTGGAATTTGAACCACCCTGGTTCCTGCCCCCCAAGACTCTGAGCAGTGGCTCTACTGAAGTCCCAACCATACCTTCTGTGCAGAAATTACTAATGTAAAATGATTAAATATGAAGTAATTTTAAATGGCTTTTAAATGGGAAATGGCTCTTATGTAAATTCAGTGGGAATAAAAATAACTGTAATTCTGCCTCCACAAAAAGTGGGGTCTTTTTTGAAACAGAGGTGAAAAGGAAGGAAGAGGAGTAATTTTAGAGACTCCCCTAGACCTAAATGGCCAGAGTTTCTTCAGACCTTACATTAATTAATTTCTAAGGCACAACATGGCTTCCCACTGCCAGAGGGCAAGGTTAGGTGGAATATTGGGAAGGAATTCTTGGCTGGGAGGGTGGTGAGGCCCTGGCACAGGTTGTCCAGAGAAGCTGTGGCTGCCCCTGGATCCCTGGAAGTGTCCAAGGCCCAGCTGGACGGGGCTTGGAGCAACCTGGTCTAGTGGAAGGTGTCCCTGCCCATGGCTGGGAGTGAGACTGGATGATCTTTGAGGTCCTTCCATCCCCAACCATCCGGTATGAACATTATTTTACTACCAAAACATGTTGTGTGATGGGTTGCAGTCAATATGCTGCTGTAAGGTTATCTTGACTCTCCAGTTTTATTCTACATTTGTGTCCTGCCCTTGCCATTAAACAGTGTAGTTTTAGGATCTTTTGTCTAGTACTTGGATGAGATTCAGCTTCTGATTTATTGGGGGTTTTTTGTCTTCTGAGTAGAAGGAAATTTAGAAAAGGCATCAACAGAAAACTGTGCAGACTGTGTATGGACTGGATGTTGTGCTGAGCAGTGAGATGGCTCAGTGCTTGACCTCAGCTTCAGCTTGAAAAGGACGCACTAAAACCCCCATGGAGGAACCTCAGATGTGCCATTGAGCCAGCGGCAATTTCTGAGCCCAGAAAAAGTGGGTTTGGTCGAAGAGCGACATGATTGTCCACAGCTGTCCCATGGCTGTTGCTTTCACAGATTCTCATATTTGTGTGTTATAAACATGGCGTATTTCATCAAAATCTTGATGACATGAAGTTGTCAAATTCTTTCCCATCAGCAGGACGTCACAAGAGTCTAAATTTAGCTGTGTCTCTGAAGGGGAAGTGGAGTGAATAGCACGGTAAGTCAGCTGGGTGGTGGAGCATCGCTCAACTCAACGTGTCAATGGACACGTCTGGTGGAATTTGGTTCCACTTTCGACCAGCACAGCCCCTCTGATCCCTCCCTGTGCCCTATTACGGCAGTCTCAGCTCACTGGCATCACACCGCGGTCGGAAATCTCTCAGCCCAGTTTCCAACATCCTCTTTGAGGCTGGGCCTCCCTTTGTGTTCAAACCCCGCGCCCTTTCCCGCTGGGATCGCTTCTGTTTTTACAAGGAACAAAAAATGGGGAAGCACATCATGTGTGTGTCAGGCTCTTTGCTCACAGAGAGCAGTGGAGGAGGAGTATGTAAGAGTCTGTCCTCCCCCAGCAGCTGGAGTGGGACAGCTCTGGGCTCGGGGAAATCACCTCAGACCCTGCTGGGCTTGGTAAGTTGGGCTTTTTGTGCCTTGCTTTTTCCCTTATGCTTTGTCCCAGAGGGCAGGAGCCACTTATTTCATTTGAAACAGAGCAGTTTTGTTAAAATTACCCTATTTCAGCTCTACATGAGCATTTTCAAAGCAATAAACCAAAATTTATTAGCAGGGAAGGAGCTGGGTACCTCGAGGTCTTACAGACCAGGGTAAGGACCTGGTTACACATCCTATGAGGAACACAGCATTCCAAATTCCAGTGACCTTCAGCAAGATTTAAATTGCCAAGTATTCTCCTCTTTTTGGAAAATGGTTTCCTAAGTGCCTGAAGTGCTTCAGAATGTGTTGTCCAGCTTTTTGCATATGTAAATGATACAATAGATAACCAGTGATGCTGATGTAGCCAAGTGTGCTGCCTTTGCTGTCTGCTTTGGCCTCAAAATTCCAGGGTTCCCTTCAGCTCCAGGGAGAGACTCGTGCCAGTAAAACAACCCCCCAAAAGAAAAAAACACCATTTCAAACCATGAGCACACTATGGGGGTGTGAATGTACTTGAATTATGCAGAGATTCAAAAGATATTTGAAGGATAGAATGATTTTCTTGTGTTCATCTTTCCCATCCCTCCACAAGGGGAGTGGTGATGATCTTCTCCTTGGTGAGTTCAGATCTGACTTTAAAAGTGAAGGTTCCCATTGATTTTAACAGTAAGTGGATTGAAAAGGAATGATAAGGAATCATTAAATGTAGATTATTTTGAGACACTTTTCACTGCTTATCACTTCACTATCGAGGAAGACAAATTAACTGTGTCTTTTAAATTCATCACTAAGAGGGACTCTACACACCTCTGTCCAGCAGCTCTGTGAGCTGCATTTTGGGTGCATTTTTATTATACTTGTAGACCTCTCAGCATCTTTTGAAGCTCCTTGGTACATCACAGGAGGGCTCAAGTCAGAAACAACCTGCAAATATAAAGAGCTAATTCAGCTCTTTATATCCTTCCTGTGTCACTTCTTTAGCTCTTAGAAATTGTTGTCTTTCAATGGAAAACACTGATTTGCAACTGATGATGGTGACACAGACAAGTAAGATGAATTTGCTGATTTTTACAGCTTATAAGTACTAAGTGTCTCAAGTAGCCATGATGCAGGAGAGACCTGGAAACAGAATGGATGTTACAGATGAAAAGCTGTTTAATGCCTTCCCTTTATCTTCAGAATGACTTTTGTGGGCATGGTAAAAAAGTGAAAAGAGGAAAAGCATGTAGTTTAATGTTTGCTAAAAATAAATGCTCTCGAGAAAAAATAAAGAGAAAAATCACAATATTTATTAAATATATTATTATTATTATTATTATTATTATTATTATTATTATTATTATTATTATTATTATTATTATTATTCTCTGCCTGTCTTTCAGTCCCAGGGCTCCATGGAACTCTGGTGATCAGGCTGTTACTCCCACTTGTCCTCATGTTGGCAGAAGGCATCTTAATGAGGCTCATCTATAAAGAAAGCTGTCATCAAGATAAGCCTCAGAAATCCCCTGCATCCCAAAAGGCTAAAGAGGGAATCTGGAGGCAGAAACTTGTAGACATCCCAAAAATCAAAGGCTTTGGTGATGGATGTGAGAAGCGGGATGAGATCTCTGCTCGAAGCAGCAAAACAGAACCCAGGAGTGGCCCTGGCTGGGGATCCAGAGAAAGGGAACCTGCAAAAGATCAGGAAATGCAGGTTAAAGGACCTGTATCCCCAGCTTTACACATCCCCAGGAGAGGCCAGAGCCTATACCAGCTGGATTTGTACAGATCCTGGCCATGCAATAGCATTTACCAGAACTATCCCGACCTGCAGATCGGGGGGGACCATGTGGGGGAACACACGTGTGACTCGGGCTGTGTCCTGGACCACGTGTGTGATGAACTTCCTGATGGCCCTGTCCTGCTGTCCATAGATATTCCCCTGGGCCAGTCCCCTCCCTGTGAGCACCCCGAAAAGCCCAGTGTGACATCCCTATCTGGGCATGAAGGTGAAGCTGAAGCTGCAGAGAGGAGCATCGTGCTCTCTGAGGAGCCTCTTTCCAACTCCACGCTCAACAAGTACATGGAAGCCAAGGTGGCAGAGCTCTACAAGCAGTTTTTTGAAGAAAGCCTGGCCAGGTGTGGCTCTGTAACAAACCTCCTGACTTGCAGCTGGCTGAGGAACAGCCTGGAGCAGATAAGCTTCCAGATCTCCCAGGAGCAGAACATAGAAGCCTCCAAGGCCAGAGGAGCCCTCCTGCACTCGCTGGCTTTGTTGAGTGGGCGAAACGCTCCCAACAGGAACAGCTCAGAGTTCAGCACCCCAAACCTGCAGATCTCCAACCCAGCGGGGGTGAAACGGAGCTGCAGGGTGCAGTTCCCATCCTGACTGAGCTGGGCTGGAGGGATGGATGGCATTAGGGTACGAATATTTCACTCCAGGGATGAGCTTGGGAAGTGGGAACATTTACACACTACACTTTTTCAAATCAGTGTTTTAAGGCTTAAACCGTAGGGGAAGTAGAAGGCACTGGTTTCTTTTTTCTAATACAGGATTTGAAATTAATTTCTCTCTAAAATACTAGTTAATCATGTTTTTATAGTGTCTATAGAATCAGAAATTCATCAAGGCTGGAAACAACCACTAAGATCAAGTCCAACCATCAACCCAGCACCTCCACCATGGTCACCATGTCCTCAAGTGCCTCATCAACACATAAAAATGTTTAATTTTTGGCAAAATCAGCAAGCAAAAATGACTGCAGCATTCCTGAAACAGTAGTGCAAGGTTCCTGCATCTTTGGAAATTTAAATGCAGATTTTGATATGGAAATCCTGTTACTTTCAAACCCATTTTCTTCCCTTTCTCTTACTTCTCTGTAAGTATGGAAATGAATCATTGTGTCACCATTGTAAAATGAGAAATGAATTGGACTGTTACCTGCCCTGCAGAAGTTTTTTTCTAGTAAAGAACGTTTTTTGTTGTTGTGTTTTGGGGTTTTTTTGCCTGTGGTTTTGTTTGTTTGTTTTAATCCAGCATCTTTATTTGTTGGGAGTTTCTTAAAATCATCTCTGAGCTGAAAGAAAATACCAATAGGCTTGGAAGAACGTTGAGAAGATCTGAATTCACAAGGGATTCACCTTGAAGCTTCTAATTCAAATAATATAACTTATTAATTAGTGGCATTTACTGTAATAGAAGCTGTGTGATGGGGCTTAGAGTTAAAATTGGACCTGTTTTGGTCTGTACAGGGATGGGAATTTGCAGAATAAAGGAATATGGACCCTTAATAATTAATTTCCCTCAGCTGCCTTCTCAAATCTGATTCCTGCTCTTGCTCTCATCTTGAAACCCCAACTTCCAATTTTTCATGTTATTTTTTAAACAGCCTTCACCCTGAGGCAGACTTTGCCATGGTATCACTGTGGTAGGATGGGCATTTTCAGATGGAGGAAAGAAAAGAGGGATGGCTGGAGTTTGGGTGGCAGGATTGAGAAGAAGCTGCTCCTGAGGCAAAAGTGATCTGGGTGGCCAAAGTAAGAACTTCTCTCTCGTGAGTAAAATGACAGGCAAAGACAATTCCCACTGAGAAAATAATTCCATAAAATCAGACTCATCCAAGACCTAACTGATCATTGCCTGATCAACAATTCCCATTTTCTACTAACTCTAATACTACATCTAGTCCTTGTTTTCCAAGAGGATGACAAGGAAAAGGATGACTTGCTTCACTATGGCTTGCCCTAATTCCACATGTGCCTCATGAATGCCCTTCTCAGCATTCCAAATCAAGTCAGGAGTCCTTAGAAAGAGGCCAGATGACTTCATTAAACTCCAGAGCAGTCCAGGGTGGGCAGAACTCCTAAGTTTTCCTTGGGAGAGAGAATAAATTAACTGAGGGTGAGGGGGAAAACATTCCAAAGGGCACCAGTAACCCAGGGGTTTGCAGCTAACTGGAGAAAAAAGTGCTCCCTGGCATTTGAGCTGCCTTTGGTTCCCCCTGGGATCTGTTTATAGTTCAGACCAAAGTCTGGAAAGACGTTAATTGCACAAGGTTCTTCCTCAGGAAATGAGAAAGTCGGAGGTTAATCCTGAGGCCCACCCAGGCCGTGGTTGTTTTCTGTCCTTCCCGGGGCTGAGAAATGCGTTGGAGAAGCCCCACTTTGCTCTGCTGGTTCCCTCAGAGCCAGCCCTTGGTGTTAAAGTCAACAGACCATCATCAGCTGTTTCAGTGGGAGAATCCCTGATGGATCTGCTGCTCCATTGCTGTGGCAGAAATGGAGCAGCAGAGAAGAACATGGACATCAAAAATGAGTGTTTGGCACAGCCTGAGGTTACTGGGAAGCTCTGTCCATCCCATCCCTTCTCAGGGTCGGGTTCAGAGCTTGTTTTTTTAATTAGTTTTGTCAAATATGTGGACAATTTTAGCTGGAATGAAAAGAAAACAACACAACGGCAGCGTTTTGAGGAAAATTAAGTAATTTATGTGGCCGTTCAGCACAATGATCCGTGTTTTCACAGCGCAGTGAAGGTGTAGATAAATGCACTTGGTTAATGTAAAGCACCACAGACTGTATTTTTGTACTGATTTTATGTAGTCTTGTCCATGGGAAAATATCATCCATGTGCTCTTTCCACCCAACATTTGTGACTCTGGTTTAATCCAAAATTTAACTTCTCCAAATTAACTTCTCACAGAAAGAAAGATATCTGATATGTCACTGCAGAGTACATTTTAGGAGCAAAATCTGGTCGTTTCAGGAAAGATGAGACAAATCCATTTATTACTCACTCAAATACTATTTTTATTTACATTTTATTTTAATTGACATGTTGCAATCCATTATATGCCTTGGATTTATTTATATTTGAAAGATGCTGAGCCCCATTCTGAGTTTAACTCCAGTAAAACTCCATCAGCTGCACTAGAACTGTGCCTGTTTTCACTAGCAGGAAAAATGCCTCAGTGAACTAAATTTCCTTAGAGAAAATCCCTGAAAAGGTGCTTTTCCAGCCCTCTGAAGGGCAGCAGCTGGATTTCATTCCAAAGGAAAGCAGGGCCATATTTTACAGGCCAGATTCTGCCTGGTGCTGATTTTTATCCATGTGCCAGAAAATCTGATATTGAAAGGGAAATACTGGCAGGGAATTTTTACCTTTACATCCAGTTCTCATTCTGTGTTCCCACAGAGGAATATTCACCAGGTGCTGGGACACAGACCTTGGAATAAGCTGGACTCTTGAGTTAAATCTCCCCAGTTAACTGAGTCCTGTAGTCAGGATATTGTTCCCAGCCTGCTCCAGGTTGTGGGATTTAAGCCCCTATAGGAGGTGACTTCATCTGCCTGGAGCATAATTGGGATTTTTACACTCCAGATCAAGATTAACAATTTTTCTGAGATTTATTGAATAGTCAAATGGTGATATCTAGTGGTGGTTTCCTTTAGTACCTTTCAGGTCAGGATTTCCAGAGCTTTACAACCATTTTGCAACTAAATCTCAAAATCCACATTTTCTTTGAAAGAAGGATTAATTCCCACAAAAAGGATGCCAGGTTTGCAGGACAACACTTTCCATCAGTTGATGTTCTTCTATTCTGCAGGTTAAAATCTAGAAGGACTCAAAATCTGGAAGGCCAAACCCTTCCCTTTGGGACTATAAAAAATGGAATATCAGATAATCAGAAAAATCTCAAACACTAAATACCTGTATTTTTCATTCATTTCTCTTTTAAAGAGGAAAATGCTATTTGCTTGTCAACTTGGCATGAAACTAAGTGTGAGTGGCTTCCTTTTTCACCCAAAATTTAAAATACTGAGCTGCTTTTAATGGGCTGAAATCTACTTTTTAGCAGCGTTCCTTCTCTCTCTCCTCAAGTTTATACATGACATTGCAATACTGATTTTTTCCTCTCTGTTTTGCTCCTGCTTTACATAAAGGTTTCCAAGATTCAGCTGTTTGATTGTAATTAACCTAATTTTCTTCCTCTTTAGGAGAAGATCCTCACAATTTAATCCCTTCCTGCTTTTCTTTTGCGTTATTTTATTTGTGGTAACTCCATCAATCTGCTGGGAATGTAAATCACTTGTGAGGGGCAGTGGTTGCTTGGGAAATGAGTGCCCAGGTGGCAACAAACCCTCCCACTCCCACATGTGACATCCTGGTTGCCTCTTATGAATCCCAAGAGGGGCAAACCCCTCCCTTCTTCCCTCCTGTTCCATGTAGGGGTTGTGGATATTCCCTTTCACTTGAGGGAAGGCAAAAAGTCTGGAGGAATATTTGATGCTGTGGAGCAAACTGGAGCAAATTTGTCTCTGGAGCTGAATTACTGGAGCTTGCACAGAATGTGTTAGGAATCCTGTGTAAGCATGTCCATCAGGGCTTTATTTTCCTTGGGATGCTTGTTTGGGGCTCTCTTTAGGGAAAACATTTGTGGCTATTGTTACAATATTTAAATTGCAATTCCTTGGAAACAATCTGGCACCTCACCAACTTTTCCTGGGGCTTTTTTTGCTGATGTTTAAGTGCTCAGAGAAGGTGAGCAAAGGGTTGAGGAGCTTCCCTTGGGGAAGGGTGACTGCAGGGGGCCTGAGGAACTGGGACTTTAAAACCAGCCCCAGAAGACTGAGACTTGCAGGGGGTTCCTGTGTCTCACCACTGCTGCTCCTCCCCCAGGGTAAGTGCTGACAGCATCTTTCCTAAACACAACCCTAGTTGTGTGACATTGAAATGTGGGCTCTGGACTCTGTGGAACTCTCAGTGGGAATGTTAACTCTGGGATGGATGCAGGCTCAAAGATCTGGGGGGGTCACCTGGAGAAGAGAAGGCTCCAGGGAGACCTGAGAGCCCCTTCCAGGGCCTAAAGGGGCTCCAGGAGAGCTGGAGAGGGACTTGGGGACAGGACAAAGGGGAATGGCTTCCCACTGCCAGAGGGCAGGGTTAGATGGGATACAGGGAAGGAATTCTTGGCTGTGAGGGTGGTGAGACCCCAGCACAGATTGCCCAGAGAAGCTGTGGCTGCCCCTGGATCCCTGGAAGTGTTTCCCTGCCTCTCATCCCTGGATAGGAGCACCAAGGCTTTGCTTCCCTGGGTTCTGACTGACTATTTAGGGATCGTTGATCTTCCTCAAAAAATTTCTAATTTTGTGCAATAATTCAGTTTCTTAATCTGCTGTGTTGCTATTTTTTGTTCTCATTCCCATCTGTGATCACACACTTCTGCTTTCCAGTGCCAAATTTGTGAGGCACACGAACCATTTATTCACTTGCTCTGCCTGTTGCTCAACTGTGTAAAGTTGGTGTTTCAATAATTAATTACTAATTTGAGAGGCAACAAAAGTTAACAAAGAAGAGCGAGAGAGAATCCAGACTCTCATTTTTTGCTTTGTGTACATAAAGTGTATTAGTGCTTTGTTTCAAATGGATGAATTTGTGAATGTAACGGAACAGGGAACAGGATTGCAAAGCAATTTCCTGAAAATCTCAGCTTGATATTTTAAATTAACAAATTTTGTTCCTCTTTTCTGTTAGTTGAATCATAAA